TCAGCATTCGTTACAATGCACATGGATAAGTGCCATACATGCGGTGGCTCGCGGAACAGGGGCCAGATGGTTTACTGTCAAGGCTGCACCTTGTCATACCACAAGAACTGTCTCTCGTTCCGCAGCGGACGCGAACACCAGGTCACCAAAGTTGGGGTCGATGACTTTGTGTTGCAGTGCAGGTACTGCATTGGCATCCCGATCAAGAAGGATGAAAATGCTCCCAAACACAGCATGTGTCAGGGCTGCAAGCGCGACGGTCTCGCCTGCGCAGCCTTTTCTGAGAAGAAGACGTCTCGCCAGGAAGAGAAAATGCGGGAGCAAAACTACGGTATTGACCCCATCTTCAAAGTTGCCCCTAACCTCCTGAACAACGACGAGATTGTGCTTTTCCGATGTGTTTCGTGTCATCGAGGTTGGCATGTTGAACACTTACCAGGCCTTGGGGAGGACTCGATTGGTACAGATCTCAAATCGGAGCGACTCAAGGATCACTCGATCGACTGGCGATGCCACGAGTGCGGGACAGCCAAGCACAAGATTCACCGTCTGGTGGCATGGCGACCTGTGGAAAGGGATCTCGCCAAGCAGGCTCCTCGACCGACATGGCATGATGTCAAGGAAGACGACAAGGAGTATCTCATCAAGTGCGACACACGATCCTATAATCACTGTACATGGAAGTCAGGTGCCTGGGTACATGGTGTGGCTGCTTCTACGATGCGCGCTGCCTTTGGGAAACGAGATGCCGAGCGAGATCTTCTCAAACTCGACGAAAACGATGCAGTTCCAGACGAGTTTATCATGCCCGACATCATCCTCAACGTCAAGATGCACTCTTCGATTCCCAGACCCAAGACGCGAGAAGATGAGCTTGCCAACATGAACAACGTGAGCAAGATCTTTGTCAAGTTCCAAGGCCTTGGCTATGACGACGTCGTCTGGGATGCACCACCAACAGAGGACATGGGCGATATCTACGCCGCCTTTGTGGAGGCATACTACGAATACGTCGAGGGCAAGTACTTCAAGTACGAGTCGCAGTACAAGATCAAAGAACGTGTCAAGGCGTACAAGTCTGAACCTTTCGAGGAGATCAATGAGCAGCCTGCTGGTCTTAAGCGAGGCAAGCTCATGGGTTACCAGCTTGAGGGAGTGAATTGGCTGTTGGGCAACTATCACAATGGACGCAGTGTTGTTTTGGCTGATGAAATGGGTCTTGGCAAGACTGTCCAGGTCGTTGGCTTGGTCACTTCACTGATCCAGGACAGTCCAAGGGTAAGCCATATCTACACATGTCAATGATGACAGCGTCACTAACATCATGATAGTGCTGGCCCTTCCTCATCGTCGTTCCCAATGCCACATGTCCCAACTGGCGCCGAGAGTTCAAGCAATGGGCCCCGGAGCTGCGAGTTGTGGCGTATCACGGCGGAAAAGAGCCACAGTCTCTTGCTCACAAGTATGAGCTGTTTCCCAACGGGTCTACAGACATGAAGGCCCACGTTGTCATCATGTCTTACGACTCAGCTCAAGACCCGGCAACTAAATCCATCTTCAAGTCGGTCAACTGGGCAGGACTCGTCGTTGACGAGGGTCAGCGACTGAAGAATGACCAGAACATCCTCTACGGTGCTCTTCGTTCTATGAAGATCCCCTTTCGACTTCTCCTTACAGGCACTCCTCTCCAAAACAACAAGAGGGAGCTGTTCAACCTACTTCAGTTCATTGATGAAAAGAAGAATGCTGAAGAGTTGGATGCGGAATATGCAGTCCTCGACAAGGAAACGCTGCCGCAGTTGCACAACGAAATCCGCCCCTACTTCCTCCGCCGCACCAAGGCAGGGGTACTCAAATTCTTGCCGCCCATGTCCCAAATCATTTTACCCGTCACGATGACTGTGATCCAGGAGAAACTCTCGAAGAGTATCATGGCCAAAAACCCAGAGCTCATCAAGGCCATGTTTTCCAACAGCAAGATGAACAAGAAGGAACGTGGAAGTCTCAACAATATCTTGATGCAGCTACGAAAGTGTCTTTGTCATCCCTTCATGTACTCTGAAGCTATCGAGGAGAGAGATCACGACCCTACGGTGCTTCAGCGCAACTTGGTTGAAGCCTCAGCCAAGCTACTGTTGCTGCAGGTCATGCTCCCAAAGCTGCAGGAGAAGGGTCACCGCGTGCTCATCTTCAGTCAGTTCCTAAATCAGCTGGACATTATTGAGGATTTCCTCGGTGGTCTCGGATACGACTATCGGCGTCTCGATGGTAGCATTGGCAGTTTGGAGAAGCAGCGACGTATCGATGCGTTCAACGCCCCTGGCTCGCCCATCTTTGCATTCCTGCTCTCGACAAGAGCTGGTGGTGTGGGAATTAACCTTGCAACCGCAGACACAGTCATCATCCTGGACCCCGACTTCAACCCCCACCAAGATATCCAGGCTCTATCTCGTGCCCATCGAATTGGACAGAAGAAGAAGGTGCTCTGCTTCCAGCTAATGACGGTAGACTCTGTGGAAGAGCGAATCATGCAGATCGGCAAGAAGAAGATGGCTCTTGATCACGCCCTGATCGAAAGCATGGACGATGACGAGCTTGCTGGAGATGATTTAGAATCGATCCTCAAGCATGGTGCACAGGCGCTGTTCAGCGACAACTACGAGAAGAAGTCTATCCATTATGATTCCGCTGCGGTTGACGAGCTGCTGAACCGAACGCACATGGACGAGGTCGACGAGGAGGAAGATGCTGCCTTTTCCTACGCGAAGGTATGGTCTAACGAAAAGTCTGGATTCGAAGCAGGTCTCGCAACCGAGGAGACGAACGAGCCAGAAGCCCTCAACTCGAGCGTGTGGGATCGTATTCTGGCTCAGCGAGAGGCCGAAGCAAAACAGCAAGCAGCTGCGAATCGCGAGGTCCTTGGACGAGGCGGCAGACGTCGACAGGTAAGTCGAAACAGATATGATGCGAGTATCGTCAGCTAACCACTTGTTCAGGCTATCAACTACAAGACGAATGCAATAGACACAGTACCCATTCTCGGTGATCTCGAACCCGAATCGTCAGACTCGTCTGATGACTTTGCCGGCGGAGACTCTGGAGAAGAGTCTGATGAGGAGGATGGCACATCGGCCAAAGGTAAACGCCAAAAGAACTCTCCCAGTCAACTAGCAACCCCAGCCACGACACCTGTCAAGAAGACATTTCCTAGCAACAGCATTAACAAGAAGAACGTGCAGACGCCGAAGAAGACGGGCCGATCAACCTCCAAACCACCAACCCCCGTAACTCAAAAGCGCAGCAAGCCCTCGCCGACATCCACCAAGCTCAACGGCAGCAAGTCGGCCGGAAGTCCCGTCAAGAAACGCCAAACTCCGTCAAGCAACAAGTCTCAAAAGCCGGGTTGCCGAACGTCGGCGGCAAGCAGCAACAAAACGGCGGGCAAAAAGGCACGCCCGGCGGCCAAATAGGCCATCAACGCATGCCAAACCCATACCCACGTCCTGTGATTGGGGTTGGGGAGAACGGGCAACTCCCTGTTCACCTCTCACGATACATCAAAGGTAACTATCTTGAACCGGGAAGCCCTGCAGAGGCAGCGGCAGTACCAGTACCAGTGTCAGTGCCAGTGGCACCACAGCATGTTGTTCCCACGCAGCCCGTCCCCCGTCCTCCAATAACTGCCTACAGCACCGTCCACCTAGGGTCAGAAGCCGAAGTGAGGATGGCAATCGATTGGCTGCAGCGCTCACACTCAACATCAGACATGGAGGCAAAGCAGCAAAAGGCTGTGCTTCTCAACCGGCTAAGATCAGTTAGCAATGACACACGCAAGCAGGCGTAGTGTGGTATTTTCTGGAGAGGGGAAGCTTTGTTCCTTGTGTCACCTGCCAGGGGACATTTGCCACATGGACGCCATGGAATAGGGGAGGGAGGGGGACATGCAGTCATTCGGGCGATTGCTTAACTACTAAAGATTTTTGTTTGTTTGATATGGATCTTGGGACTACATGACAACGTGGGCGAACAAGCGAGGAGGAAGGAAGATGATGAGTGGCAAGCAATCAATTAACCAATCAACCGAGCAAGCAAGCAAGCATATATTGGAGTTGGGGTCATTCGCCGCGATGCGATACATCAGACCAGAGAAAAAACAATGGATGGATGGATAGACAGGCCAGCTCAGGTTAACTACTCAGGTAGCATTAACGGCCATTGAATGAAAGAAAACATTGCAGCAGTCGACAAGTGTTGGTCACGGTTTTTCTGAGTGTTTCATGACTTGGCCAATAGAGCAACACAAACGCCAGCCTGCATGCGGCCCGTTGAAATCGTGCATTTTACACACCCCCTAGTCAAAGCAAACGCTGACAATGAAAGCGCAAATATTGAGATTCTGACCGTGGATAAATAGGCTGGGCAAATCGTGCTGGAGCATAAATTTTTATACATCATCTTTGGTTCTGGCTGACAAGAGCTTGCTTCTGTAGAGTTCTTGTTTCTTCTTCTCGTCATTGTACACTTCCCTACAGCTGTCTCCCCCTGGCGACGCCCTCTCTTGTCCTCGTCCCCGTTTGTCATCCCCCGAAATCCCCCATCTCGAAGTCATCTCCCGTCATCGTCAGTCGGCTACCCGTGTCTTATCTTTCCAACCGTTGGTCCGCCAAGGAGGGCCACGGAGTTGTTCTATAGGTCAACTTCAACCAACCCATCAATTTTTTCGTTTGTAGAAGACTCCCCCGACTTCGGCTCGCTGCTGCTTCTTCCCGTCGACGAGTAGGATGGCTCGTCACCGCCAGGGAGTCTGCTCCCCGACCGGGGCCGTCTCCAGAGACTCAAGCTTGTCTTCTTCGTCCTTGACTCCCGTCGAAGACAACAAACTCAGCTTTGTCAACAACATCGCCTCCAACCGCGTTAGACCTTATCCACAGTTTCCAGTTTCTGCTAAGCAGGGCAGTTCTTCTTTTGATACACAGGAGTTTACTATTCAACAAGCTACCATGGATCTTCCTCCCTCTGGACCTCAGACCAGCTCCTACGTTGCGTCCAACGGAAATCATCACAACGCCTACTATGGGAACTGGCCTGAGAGATCTCAGATGTATCAGGCGTTGGCCCCTCGAAGCATGAACTCGGCTAACTGGCGAGGTCCTCGCCCATCTATCGAATCCATCACTACTGGCGTCAACAACTACTCGCTGGCGGGTCCCAACACCTCCCCAGGTGCCTCCAACGACGCCCCTGTCAGCATCTCGGACTGCCTGAATGGATACGCCTACTGCGTGCAGCGTCCTGACGGTAAATACACCAGACTTGTCCCCGCCGACATGCTTCCGGCCCTCAACGAGGTTCCCGCCAAGCAAGCCAGCGCTCAAGGCATGGTCCTCCTGCCGGACCTCCACATGCAGCCACCGCAGGGCGTGGCCAAGATGAACCAGCCCATGACTGTCAAGGTACGTGAGCGTCGAACAGCACATCCAACGCCGGCCAGAAGCTGAGTGTGTAGCCTCCATCTGCCCCAGCTCCTGACCCCCTTCAGGTAACCAACCTCTTACCACTACCTCCTCACACAAGATGATTCTTGGTCAAACAAGCTAACCATGGCCCCAGAATCGTATTGATCGTATTGTCGCCACTTCGCCTGCTCAGCAACGAAGAACCAAGATCTACTGCGACAAGTGGATTCACGACGGTACCTGCGCCTTTACCCAGCAGGGTTGCAAGTACAAGCACGAGATGCCCTTTGACAAGGCGACTCAACAGTCTCTCGGCCTCTTCCATGGGTTCCCCAAGTGGTGGAAGGATCTCCAGGAGGACCTTCAGAAGCGCCACAACAAGGAGAACCCAGCTCGCCGTCCACAATCGGTTCTGCAGCAGGACTGGCGAGGGGAGAGCAACGAGGACACGCCCAGCCCAGCCACTGCCCAGGCCCCCATTGGAGCTGAGAGACAGACCAAGGCTATCAAAGGCCGTCGTCACTCTCCCCCAATCAACGAGAAGCCAAACTGGGTTCCTATTGAACCTCAGAGACCTGGCCCTGACGGGGACTGGGTCATCACTCCATCAGCCCTCAAGGCGTGGGCTCACGGCAGAGACAACTCCTCTCCCCGCTCTTCTGCGGGCTCGGTTGAAAACAACTTTATCCACTAGTTACTGGATGGATGCAAGCTATACGGAAAAAGGCGTCCCGGTCGACCACGGTGGGATGGAATGGCGACAACAGATGGCAACCGGCTGTCCACGTCATTTGGTTTTAAAAATCAGGGTTTTCATTTACAAGAGTCGCTCCTTCTTTTCTTAGTCCATAGTGATGGTTTTACTTTCACTTCTTTTTTGGTTAGATATCACTCTTTTTCTGTTTTTGACACAAGTTTTTGTCATATTAGATACGCAAGCCCAACGTCAAAGACTACACAGGTCGATACACACACGGCGGTGAATGGGGTTGGGCCCTCAGGTAACAAGAAATGATTTCCCAGAATGTCTGCGTTTCGGAGCTGCTTTGTGACTGAAGCCCTTGTGTGATCAGTCACCCACTCATAAGTTACACGTGTCTTGGCTACACGCTTGCGGGAGCAGGATCGCTGTGGCACAGGGAGTCTCTTGATGCCCAAGGTCAGCATCTTGGTACAGGATGCCATGCGTAACCGTGCCCAAGCCTTGTAGGAGCAACCTAGGTGCCTGGAGGATCTTGTGAGTGGTGTAGCCTTTGGGGTGTGGGCGTTAGTACTTGTTTGAGGAAACTAAGCCAAGGGCAAGATCCAGAAAATAGAGAGGAAAGGCCAGCCTCAGTTTCTGGTACCCGGGCAACCCCAGATCTCTAAGTTATATCGAGCACTGTCAGCGGACACGTTTGCTAGCTGCCTCCTGAAATGACCTTGGTACTATCCAGACTCCAGTGCTCGTAGATATTGACAGTTTCGTTTGACAGAAATGATTTGGTATTAAAAGAATGGGAAAGCCTCATGACTTTTTTTGTTCCAGGTACAGATGTTGTCAGGTAAATGTTCAGACCCAAAAGCGAAGCTATCTCGGTGACCCCGCGATTTGGAGGGGCATTATTTCCTTATCTCGGTGAGCAGGGATCATACGATAAGCACTTCCCACGGCTGATCTCCGGCTGATCTCCCCACCGTCACCACCCCACCAACGACCAGCGGAACTACATGCTCTCATGAGTGCTGCCTTGCATCTTCACCAACCAACAAAGCTCACTTTTCTCACGTTCTCATTTTCTGCGCAGCTGTTTTTCACACAAAACAAGAGCCGTAATACCCATTTCGCCACGTTCAAGAGCTTGTGGGTTCGTGACCTTAGCATGACGAGGAGGAAATAATCCAAGGCACCGAATCAGCATCCACTCCCCAACCTCCGATCTTCGACCAACTCCTCCTCCTTCACACCACGCGAATAGACGCCCTCTTTTCAGGATGGACTCTTTGTGGGAAACCTTGACGAATTTCGCGCCAGCTCAAGCTGCCGCTCACTCCAACAAGCAGCTCGATCTTGCCATCAAGGACCATATCGTGGCTGTTAACCGATTGGTGACGTCTCAGCGGCAGCTCATCAGCACCAACGCTCGCCAAATCGTCGAGGTGAGAGCCCCGTCTTTGAGACATTCTTGCAGTATGCTGATGCAGAGCTTCAGAGGCTTGATCCCGCTACCGACTCCATCTCCTTCCTCGCCATCCTCAACTTGTCGCTAGAGCTATCGACCACTACGCCAGGCATCGACAAGACCTCACTCCTCGACGAAACACTTCGATTCCTACTCAATTTCAATCCTGTTCAGGTTCGATATGTTGGTTCGATGCTTCGGAGACTTCTCGAGCATGTTGCGACGGGCAGACTATTCACAGTATGTAGTCCCTTCGCCGACCATGACCACTAGGTACTAATCTCATGACAGCCACTTGTTTCCGTAGAAGCGATTGCCACAGCTCTACTGCGAATCGACCCAACCGGGAGCATGTTCACATCTACTCACCTAACATTGGTCAAGTGCGCCTACCACTCATCATGGATCGAGCCGGCCCTCAAGGTGCTTGATCGCGATATCACCTTTTACCCTGGCATGGCCGGTCAAAAGGACTCGAGACTTCTTTGCGATAACACTCTGGCTCCCACCTCATACATCTCTACCGAAACAGGCCTGACTGATCAGATCCGGAGCGCAACTGTGCTAGAGTACAACCTCGCGAGTGGGCTGTGCTACATTTCACGAAAGGATTGGACCAACGCCCAACGGGCTCTGGAACGTGCCATCACACACCCTTCAAAGGACAAGGGTGTTAGCAAGATGATGGACGAGGCGTACAAAAAGTGGCTGCTCGTCAGCCTTTTGAAGGATGGAGAAGCCTCAGATGTTCCCGCATACACTCCACTACCCGCCAAGAACGCCTATAGCGCGCTGGGAACGGCATATCGAAATGTCGCCGCCCAGTTCCCCACTATAAACGTCGGGCAACTAAAGATTGAGGTGGAGAGCAACCAGAAGGTCTGGGAGGATGACGGCAATACGACGCTGGTGGCAGAGGTGGTGGCTGCGTACCCGAAGTGGCAGATCATCAAGCTCCGCGACATTTACAAGCAAGTATCCATTTCTCAACTCCGTCAAGTGACGCTTAGTGCCGAGACAGGTGAGATTCTCAAGGATAATGAGGATGCGACAAAGCTCGTGCGTGACATGATCGAGTCAGGGCTGCTAAAGGGCGAGCTCCAGCTTGGAAGCAGCGGTGATGATAGCTACCTCCTCTTCCACGACGACAGCGAGTCTATGACGGAGGAGGCATTTGCGCAAGAGATCGCCCAGAGACACCACAACATCGAGATCCTTGGCAAGCAGTACAAGACGACAAACGAGCGCCTCGGCTCTAGCAGAGAGTACGTGCGGCACGTAGCCAGGGAGCAGAAGAGGGCGGATAAGGAGGCTGATCCAGGGGTTGGGTTCGATTCTCAGATAGAGGATGAGGACCTCATGACGGGCATCATGGCCCATGGTTAGGACACCGCTGGGTGCGGTCCCGACCGTGAATTGGTGGAGAGAGGCTTCCCGGCGCTCAGGGGTGTCAACGATTTCATGTAGCGATATCATTAGCGCAGAAGTGCATCAGATTAGAAGAGAGGCAAGGTGAGGCCGGCCTAGAGTCGCCTACCTATACATGAGTCACGGGAAATGAAGACATGGCTGATTAGGATCTCAAGGGTAATTCCATTGCTATCCAGGTACTGTTTCTCCAGTCATCCTTGTCTATAGCCATCTAAGTGAAGTAACAAAGCGCCATTGCCCATGCTAATGGATATATCTATCCTCGCAAACACCCAACAATCTAGAGAAAGAAACAAAACCAATGACCAATCTAGAACATCCTCCTCATCTCGACAAGTTTATTGCCTCTTCTTCCCCTTCTTCATCTTCTTTCCCAACACTTCGTGTTCCTTTGCCTTTTCGATCTTCTCAAGCTCCACCAGTTCGTCCACCCATCCCACGGTGGGATAGAATCCCAGTTCATGATCAGGTGCAATCCTGCGCTTCTTGCTCGGCTCGATCTTGCCACACCTCTGGCCAGCAAAGCAGTGGTTGAGGGTCATGACGAAAGACTTGGCCTCGCTAGAGCGGATGCCGTCTGTGGCGATCCAGTTGGGGTATCGCTCCATCGTCAGGGCTTCCCAGAGCTCGTAGAACATGGCCTTGTAGGTTGTGAGCGCCATCTCGGCGATGAATTTAGTGCCAACAGCCACGTCCCAGCCCCGCTGGGTGAGGATCCAGTCGGCAAAGTAGAGGGTTGAGGTGCGCTTGGTCTTGCGCTCCTTGAGATCCTTGATCGTGACCGCGGCGAGTGCTGGGGTTTCCGCCCTGTTGGCCCAGATGTGGTAAACGGGGAAGTTGGTCTCGGTGACGAAGCCCTCGGAGCCTCCAGGAAATGACTGGTCGTTCCTCCACTCACGGCGAGTTCGGATGAGGACTCCTGATGTCTTGTTGGCGACAAACTGCTCCAGGGGCCACTGGGTGAGGTCTCCATGGTCAGGGACTTCAACGCGATGCTTGAGCCTCCTGAACTCCTTGTACATGATAGCACGGTCACCCTCGCTCATTTGCTCAACCTTGCCATCAGGTCGACGGACAAGAGCCTGATTGGGGTGGATGTCCCAGATGATGAGTTCTCCTGGGTACTTTTCGTTAAAGGCGTTGACCTGCTTGATCATATCCTGAAGCGTCACACCAAGTCCGCCGTGCCACGAACCGGCAAAGATTGAACCATGAGACTCCCATGTTTCGTAGCCATTCTTGCCGTAGTTGAGAAAAGGACGAATATCAATGACCCGGACACCGCCCTCTTTCAGCTGAAAGGTCAAGTCCCTATACTGGGTGAGAGTGTTGAACAGGGTACCCATGCCAAAAAGCTGGTTCATCTTGTACATGCCGGCATGATGAGACCGAGGAATGGAGAGCTCACGAAGAGGGATCTGCCCGATCTGGTCTATCTTCTCCGACATCCAGCCTGGGCCGATGTCGTCGACGGCGAGAAAGTCACCCTCCTTTCCAGCGAGGACCCAATGGCAGCTTGAGGGAAAGTCGGACCACGCAATCTTCTTGATCGAGTGCTTTGGAGTATTGAATGTCTCAAAGTTCTCCAGGTAACGCACTGTGAGTTCCTTGGGGAGATCACCCCCGAAGACGTGGTCCTTTTTCACAGGGGGTCGTCGCCTGATCTCAAAGGATGCAGGCTTGGAGACACCCTCGACGTGGTAGACGACCTCGCCAGCGGCATCCCAAGGAGCCCAGCTTTCGACAGAGCTGGTGACGCGGACGGTCTGGCCGGGGTCTATGTACTTGGGCCAGTTGAGGTCCCAAGAGATCATATTCCACGAGTGCGAGTAACCCTTGCGCCAGCGGTAAGGGGTGGCGTTGATGAGGGTGATCTCAGCCGGCCAGTTGTCGTTTGAGTCCGGGACGAGTTTAGGGATGACAAGGTTCTGCCAATCCTCATACAATTCCTGCCATTTCGGAACACCTCTCTTGGAGTGCTTCTTTCCCGACTGGCCGAGTTGTGTTGTATTGCTATTGTTGGCGGGCTTGGTAGAGGAAAAGTCGCCAAGGCCAAGACGCTGGAGCATCCCCTTGATCCAAGAGTTCCCCTTGGGCAACGTGGTGGAGTTGTAGAGGTTGGTTTCAGGGGTGAGAACTATGCTCGGGTCGTTGATGTGAGGAACGTCTGGCCCGAGGAGATACTCGAGGCCAGGGGTGATGGGCAAAGCCGCTGAATGAGGTATGCCCTCTGGGAGGGTGATGTTTACCTGAGGTGGGGGTAGGATTGGGAGGCCACTTACGACCGAGGGGAGAGTAAGAAGAAGGGCCGTAGCCCTTGCTGTCATGGTGAATACCATTTTGACAGATTTGATGTGCAAGTAAAAGTGTGTGTTCGCAGGAGCGAGAAAGATGAGTTGAGTAGCAAGTAGCTGTGAAGTTGTTGATAGTAAGCTGTCGTTCTGGAATGATGAAAGAGAGAAGATGAAAACAAACACAAGGGGAGGGAGGGCAGTTACTTATTTCAAAGGGCCATTAGAGTTCTCAATGTATTCTCTGATTTTTTAACGTTGGGGTGTATTCTCGACGTTTCTTCACGATGCAAGATTTTAGACAGCAAAGCATAACTGAGATGGTGGCCTTGATAGAGAAGTATGAGTCAAAATTCAGGCAAACAAGGTTAAGAAGGGGTATCAGGGGAAAAGGATGGCGATCCAAGTTTTCAATACTCGCTCACTTGATCTCCAGGGCGCTTCTAACATGTTGGCCAGGTCGATATCCCAATTCCATATCCACGTAGTCGAGATTGCAACGCCATGACAAATGTATAAGCCTGTATTCTAATTCTCTCTCTCTCATCGGGAGGAAAACATGGCATTCTTCATCAAGCGACTTGTCCTCTTGTAGATACCCCTTATCGGTCACAACGGTGAATATGGTTTTTTACACAACGTTGATATCAAACCCAATGCTACATCACTCAGACAACCGGGGAAATAAGGCCTCTTTCATATGCAACAGAGAGAACTTTTCCGCACTCAACTTTAACAACCAAGATGCCGATTGACCCATCCAGCCCCAACGTCTTGAACAGTCAATACACAGCCCCAGGTTACCGGACCAACAGGAGAGGTTGGAACTCAATTATTCCTGTTAAGCAAGGGTTGCTTTGTTTATTCCATCTCGTGCTCAAGCAAAATACTTTCCATCGGGGAGTGAGTTTGGCTCGAGTGAAGTGAAAGCCATTCACAGAGGTCAACAGAACGGCAAAGATCCAACACTTCTGTAAACTTGGAACTAAATTTACACCAATGCATGAAAATAAGATTACAATTTAATCAAGATACTAGATCTTTTTTGTTCTACCTTATAGTTCCCCTCAGGCAAGGACAACCAAGGTTCGACCGGCGTGTCACTCACTGTACGCCGGATGCCATGCTGTGTATGCCAACCCAGTCTATTTCAAAATTCAAACGCTAATGTCCAATGTCTAATGGATTCAAGAAAAAAGAAACGCCTACAGCATGAGATACGCCGACAGGAGAGCCGCCAGCAGACCGGTCCATGAAACGGCCTGGGTCAGAGACGCCGAACTCGTGGTGCCGCAGCAGCTGCCGCGGTCGTAGGTCACGTTGTTCATCTGGGCCGCCACCTCAAAGACGGAGCCGGGGAAACCTCCGTAGTTGTAGTAGTCGACGTTGAGAATGTTGGGTGCTCGGCCCCAGTCAGAGCGGCAGTTGTTAGCTGCCAAACCCAAACTGCCGTAACCCGTGACGTTGTTGGTTTCATTGAGCAGGGCCACGGCGGGAACGAGGATCTCGGCGCCAAAGACATTGAACTCGGCATTAAGGTTATGGTTCATCAGGTACAGACGGTTCTTGGCAGACTTGTCGCTCAGGTTCGGGGGGCGCTGCACCGTGCAGGGGAACTTGCGGTCCAGAGGGTCAAAGGGCGTCTCCCACATCTGTGTGAACTCGTCGAGCAGCCAAGGGTACTTCTTCTGGTCGGAGACGTAGTCGATAAACATGATGACTCGCTTTCCGTGGATAATCAACTCCTCCAGGGTCGGCCAGTCGTCCAGGGCCATGGGAAGGTATGGAGCCCTGTAGACATATTTGGTGATACCTGACTGCTCAATGTACGGGACGTAAAGATCCGGGTGAGAGTAGTTGCCGTTTCCGAGGAGGATGGTGACGACATCGTAGGGGTGTGTATCGACCCATTCACGGACCGTTGTGAGCCATTGGGTGATGGGACCGGCGTCAAGCAGATCGCACGATGAGTGACAGAAGTGCGGCACCGACGAGTTACTGGGCCACTGGATCTGGGCCTGGATGAAGCGCACGCCGTCGTTAAGCTGAGTCGTGACGTCGAGCTCCTGGTTAGAGCCTGAGTTTCCAGGTCTCACAAATGGCGAGTTGTGGCAGCCGATCATGGTAATGTTGCTGTACTTGCGCTTGCACAGCTCGACATAGTTGTTGCAGGCCTGAGTGTTTGTGGGCTTTGCCTTGGTTGTGGTCGATGTTGCCGTCTCAGTGCCATTGGTTGTCGCGGTGCCTGTCTCGGTGTCGGTCAAGTTGGTTGCGGTAGTGATGTCTGTAGTAGGAAACAGGCCGGTAAGTGTGCTAGTGAAGCCATCGTCCTCGGTGTTACTGGACCCTCGGAGCGTGATCTTAGAGGCGTATGTAGTGTAGGCGCCAGTGGGAGGAGCGGTCTGCTTGGTGAGTCTGGCTGTCCTCGTGCCCTCAACAAAGGTGAGGTCTGATGTGGCTGATAGCTCGATCGACTGGGCTGCTACACTGGAGGCGAGGGCCAACAGGAAAGCTGGGTGATGGAGCTTCATGATGGATGATGACTCAGCGAGGGATCCCTGAGAGACTGAGGTGCAAGAAACTGCGAGATGCAGTCCTTGATATGTCGTTAAAGTCTATGCAGTTTAACGAGATTCGATGCGGTAGACGTGGTGCGACGTGACGGTTGATATGATGGATGGATGGACGTCGGTGGCTTCCTAGCTGCAGGAGAAAGGGTCACACAGGGGAAGAGCGTGGCCAACGTCAAAGCCAGCGTGACGGCGCCACGAAAGCGAAAATAAAAAAGTGTGTGAATACGCGGATGAAGATCAGACGAAGATCAGAATGAAGAAGAGAGAAGCCAAGCTCTCGAAACGACAAGATCTAATGTGATCCGCGGTGGGTTATGCCTCGATCCTTGTCTAGTAAACACCAGTCCCAATATCAGGGAGCCACCTGCAGGTATCGACAGACGAAAGAAGCAGGGAAGATGAAAAGCCTTGGAAGGAGAAAAAAATAGTGGGTAAAAAAAAGGACGGACGGGAAGCCAAGCTGGCAAGGCAACACAGACGAGACCGGGGCGAAATGAGACTTGTTTTGACCAAGATTGGCACTGGCACTGCCTTGCTTGGCTCTCTTTTTAGTCCTTAGAAGTATTGGAAAAGAAGAGGTGAAGGATATAAGGGAGAAAGGAAGCTAATGATGGGTATGAGTAGTACGATAATGAAAAAAAAACTTGGCTGTCGTGGTGATGATGCGGCGCCAAACCCGCCATGACATAACATTGCCTTTTAGCTACAGCAGTAGTCAAGAGACGAGACAGCGGCTACGGAGGATTATTCTTGGATTGACTGACACAGACAATTGGGCCATTGGAAGAAGAGTCATGAATCAATCAGTCTCCAAATGTCTTGGGCGCTTCCCGTATTAACGCGTCAGCACGTTGGCCGCAGCGAGCGGCCCTACGGTGCGGTGGCCCCAAGCCGGTTCATCGGCACTTTCACCTGAAGCTCAGGCTTGCCGGGTCAGGAATCCAATAGCAGGACAAAGGGCCAGGTCTAAGCCACTCAAACAGGCGCTTCTAGGGGTCTTGAGTGTAGTATCGTCCCATGCCCTGGTTTAGGTCTTTACGGGCGGCTGTTTGTGTCTCATCAAGAATGCCCCTATCAATAGAGGTAATGGATTCTCAGGGGTGAGCAAGCTTTGGCGTGCGTGCCTACCGCCCTCTAAAAGGTCAGTTTACTATCCCTTGGCATGGACCCAATGGACCCATCCTCATGATCCTTGACCGGCAGGCGGCAAGCCTCAGCTGTTGAAGGGTGTCAGATCCTGGGTCGATGGGCACTGGGCCTTAGCCTGGATGGGCCTGGAATTGGGATTTTCGCGCCCATGACGACAAAGCTCCACGGGCCGGCACAGCTAGCTCCAGCTTTTTTCTCCAAATGGTGGTCCCCTATGATCGACGCCAACTTTCAAGCTTTCAACACACATCATCAGTTTCCTTTTGTTAGTCGTTTTCTTTTTCTCTTCTCTGGGGGAAAGTCTAGTCTACCCTACCACTCGCTCACTTTTCGCTTCTTGTTGTTTCTGTTTGTTTCAATTCTTGTTTCCTGGTCTTGTCTTGTTTCTGTTTTTTATCTCCTTCTCCGAGAGAGGTCATCGCCAACCACCAACGAAGCTCTCTAGTAGCTCTCCCTTGCGACGTCCCACGACACATTCCCAGCCACGACACCATATTCAACCCGATTACCATATTCAACTCGGTGCCATACTCAAAGATAACTCTTCACCATGGCTCAACACAGGCGCAACACGGCCGTTGCCGCCAGCACCCTCTACTTCCTCTCGATCCCCTTCCTAATCCTCGTCATTATCGGCAACACGCATATCAACTCGACCCTCAACGACATATACTTCTTCCAGCTCGACGTGTCGCAAGTCATTCCCATCTCGGTCGAAAACTCCAACCTGCTCAACTCTGTCGCGCGAAGTCTCGGTCTCCATGACTTTTATCAGGTTGGACTATGGAACTTTTGCGAGGGGTACCTTGACGAGTGCGTGCCACGATCTTATCTTATATCATAGACCCAAGTACTGATATAGACACAGAGGTGTTACATTTTGCTCCGAGCCTAAGCAATTCTACTGGTTCAACCCCGTCGAGATCATGATCAGCGAACTCCTCGCCGGCGCCCAGATCGCTCTCCCCTCCCAGGCCGTCACCGTCCTCAACCTCCTCAAGATGGGCTCCAAGATCATGTATGCCTTCTTCATGGGAGGCATCAGCGTCAACTTCGTCCTCATCTTCGCCAGCCTTCTCGTCATCCGCACCCGCTGGTTCAGTCTGCTTCTGACCCTCCTCGCCGCCATCGCCTCCATCTTTGTCTCTGTCGCCGCCATCATCGCGACAGTCATCAGCATCGCAGCCAAGGTCGCCCTGACGGCCCAGGACCAGCTCAACATCCGAGCCAACATTGGAGTCAAGATGTTTGCCTTTATGTGGATCGCCGCCATCTTTACCGATGTGGCCTTTTTGCTCCACGCCGCCATGGGAT